GCCCAGGCAACTTGGTGAGATCTCATCTCTATAATTAAAAAAAAAAAAAATTAGCCAGGTGTGTTAGCATGCGCCTGTAGTGCCGGCTACTTGGAAGGCTGAGATGGAAGGATTGTGGGAGCCCAGCAGATCGACGGTGGAGTGGCCATTGAGTGTGCCACTGCACTCCAGTCTAGGCAACAGAGAGAAACTCCAACTTAAAAAAGAAAGAAGGAAAGAACTCTCTAGGGAACAATTGTTGTTCAAGTCATTGTCCTTGCCTAGAATGGCTATTCTGTCCTCTTACGTAAGTTTCACTTGATTCATGAGGCCTACTTATTCCACAAATATTTGCACTTAACATACTAAGTGCCAGCAATGTTTAGGCAGTGGATAGACAATGGTTAATAAGACATTCAAGGTTCTTGTCTTCATGAATCTTCTATTGTGAGGAACACAATAAACATCATTGAATTTTAGATAAGAAGGGGACAATGCTATCTGTGGTGAAGGGGATTATATTCATTATGCTAGCTAAGAAAAGCTAATCTGAGATCACCTTTGAGTAGAGAACTGAATGAGGAGAGAGTATGAAACGTTAATTCTAAGGAGAGAACGCTCCAGTTGGAAAACACCAACAGTAGGATCTTGGCATGATTGAGAACAAGCAAGATCCATTTCCATTTTCCATGAGAAGTTCTGATTGCCCAGCTTGAAATGATCAAACTCATATAATAGCACTTGTCTCTGCAATTCATTTGACATTGAATATATGTTACATTATAACACTAGTTGTCTTTTGGAAGTTGAGATGCTCACTTTACCACTCAGACCTAGCTCCTTCAGGTGAGGGGCTATGTTTCTTGGTATATTCAAAATCAAAAGTAGTACTTTCATGTAACAAGTATCTCATACTATTGATGAACATAGTTACAGTAGTCTGATGTAATGATCTGTGCTGTTGTCAAGACATCAATGAACATATTAGCTCTTGACCAAAGGTAGAGTTGGGCAGAGGGTAGAAAGAGGTTCTGGCATTTTAAACATATCTAATAATAAAAGTTGGTTTTGAACTTCTGTTTAGATTTATTTTATAATGATATGATGATGTTGCAAATACATTCACAATTTATTGCAACAATCTACTTTTCTTAGCTGAAATTAAAACTGTAGTACTTCACCTTTAGTTGCTGAGGAATAGCTTTTGTTACAGGCTCTTAGATTTTAAGTCTTCCTTGAATTAAAATAAGGCAAAACTTTGTAACTATTGCTTTAATTAGTTCTTCCCGTTGTCACATAACAGAGTTTCAAGGGAGAAGTCAAAGGTCCATGGCACTAGTTTTCTATACCATTGCTACTTTCTCTGAGCTGAGATAGCACACTGACAAGAGAGATTATTCACTCTGCAGGGGTATTATTGTGATATTGAAATCCTAATGGTAATAAAATTTCATGGCTGGATGATCACATGCAGAAGACTGAAACAGGACCCCTACCTATCTCCATACACAAAGATCACAAATTGATCAGAGACCTAAATATAAAACCTCAAACAATTAGAACCTTAGAAAATGCAGGAGACACCCTTATGGATATTGGAACTGGCAACTAATTCCTGATCAAAACTCCAAGTGCCCATGCCATAAGAGATAAGATAGACAAGTGGGACCTCATCAAACTGACAAGCTTCTGCAAAGTCAAAGAAACAATTGAGAGAGTGGGGAGCCAGCCCACAGACTGGGAAAAAATATTTGCCAACTGTATGTCTGACAAAGGCCTAAAACATCTAGGCTCTACAAGGAACTCAAAAGTGCTGGAAAAACAAAAAACAAAAAACAAAAAAACCCAGCCCCATTACAAAGCAGGCAAGGATATAAATAGTTCACAAAAGATGTACGAGCAGCCAACAGATACATGAAAAAATGTTCAGCCTCACTAGTCATCAAAGAAATGCAAATTAAAACTACAATGAGATACCATCTAACTCCAGTCTGAATGGCTGTTATCATCAATAACTCAAAAAATAACAGATGCTGGAGAGGATGTGGTGAAAAGGGAACACTTCTACACTGTTGGTGGGAGTGTAAACTAGTACAGCCTCTGTGGAAAACAGTGTGGCGAGTCCCAAAACTTCTAAAAATCGACCTTCCATATGATCCCACAATCCCCCTACTGGGAATATACATGGAAGAACTCAAATCACGCTATAAAAAAGATACCTGCACATGTATGTTTATTGCAGCATTGTTCACAATAGCAAGAACAGGGAACCAACTGTGCTGCTCATCAAAAGAGGACTGGATAAAAAAATATGATACATATACACAATGGAATACTATGCAGCCATGAGGAAGGACATTATGAACTTCACAGCAACTTGATGGGCTTAGAGTCTATAATACTGAGTGATCTTTCACAGAAACAAATAACTGAGTATCACATGTTCTCACTCATAAGTGGACCCTGAACAACTATTGTAATACTGTAAGAAAAGGATTGACAGTAACAGGAAACTGCAGGGGTGGGGGTGGGGGTGGGGGTGGGATTGGCAGTAGTAGGAATCTGTCTAGGGAAGGGGGGATACACCTCATCAACAAGGGTACCTGCGCAATATGAATATTTGTATACCTAACCCTGAATTGTACCCCACAATTTTAAAATAAAATATTTAAAAGTTATAATAATAATAATAATATAAAAATAAAATGATACAATCTGGAAACAAACACCAACATATTTGAAATTTACAAGGCGAAGCATCTATCTTTTTAAAGTATTAATCAAATGCCATCAACCTACTGCAAATTTGGCTTTATTCTGAGCTAGAATATTGTCTACTTGTGATATGACTATTCTAATCTTATTTTGCTTCTGTTTCTTCCCAAAGAAAGAATTTGGTGATTTTCAAGTAGTCAGTTTTTGGTTTTTAAAAAAAGGCAAAATGGTGTTATGGAGAAAGTATGCTGATTTCGACATCAGGACTCTAGATTAGAATCATGGCCCTACTACTAGTTATGACTTTGGGCAAATCACTTCTTCAATAACCTTGTCTCCCAAATGGAGATGACATCTTTCCTACATATCCTAGATCACTGTCAGTTGTGCGGTCTTGCTAGGCAGTATTCAGGATTATTAAAATTCATGTAGTTCAAATGGATCAATCAAATGTTATGGGAGTGTGAGATTCTTATGTAATAAACATATTGCTCAGAATTCTGGGGCCATGTCAAACTGGATGTAGGACTAATGGTTATGTTTTCCTCCCTTCATCTTAGATAGGGTAGATGAAGATAAATAACATTTAAGGATTTTGTGATGAAAAAGAAAATTTAAACAGGTTGAATGACTAATGGAAAGTTTGCTACTTTGGGAAGAAGACTTACATATGTTCATTTAAAACAACAATAAATGTCAGGCAAGTAGTCTTTTCTCTGTTTTCCAGAAAAGGAGGTAGTTGAGAAAAGTAATTTGTTCTTGATCACACAATATGCCAGCTACAGAATTAAAAAATCCAAATCTAGGCTGGGTGTGGCAGCTCATGCCTATATTCCCAGCACTTTGGGAGGCCCAGGTGGAAGGATTGCTTGAGATCAGCAATTCAAGACCATCCTTGGCAACATAGAAAAACCCTGTTCCCCCACCAAAAAAATTAGATTTGACTGAAAAAGCCACTTTCTATTGTATCAGTGGCTTTCAAAATCAGAACACCTGTGGCACTTGCTCCAAAGGCAGATTCCCAGAAGTCTTCTTGGAATATGCATTTTTATAAGTAATACATCATGTATGTATTGTGATGATTGTCCAGGATCTACACTTAAGAATAAGAGCCCTCATCTCTACAATAAATCAAAAAATTAGCTGGGCGTGGTAGTGTGCACCTGTAGTTCCAGCACTTGGAAGGCTGGCAGAAGGATCGCCGGAGCCCAGCAGGTTGAGGCTGTGGTGGCCGGGAGCAGCCACTGCACTCCAGTCTGGACGACAGAGTGAGACTCCAACTCAAAAAAAAAAAAAAAAAAGAATAAGAGCCCATTAGGCTCTGTTAGGTAGTATCTTTAAATCTACACAAGTTACCAAAAACTACCTACTTAAGAAAATCAGAAACCATGTATCTTTACAATAAATTATTTGTTTTAATCTGGCTATAAACCAGAATAGTCCCAAACTACTATAATCCTAGAATTCTTACTGAGAGGCTCATAGATGGGGTATTCTATGAACATTTTATAAATGCAGAGAATTCTTCTTAAACTCGAATCTGGTAAACTATAAGTCTACCTTCTCTGAACTAATCAAAAAATAAAACTTATCATCCAAAGTGTGACACTACTGAGAGCAAAGAAGAAACTACCAATAATTGTGAGGGGGACTCCCAAAAAGCCAGAATTATCTTTTTTTTGGGGTACGGGCCCCTTGTAGCACAGACATTCCCCCCACCCCCAGGTCAACCAAAGTTTTTATCTGAAAGTTTTGAGAAGGGTGAGTCACAGTTTGCAGAAGAAACGTCCAGAGTTGTGGCAAACAGGTGACTGGTTCTTCCAAAATGCACCACATGCCTGCATCAAGCAGAGTGTTCAGCAGTTTTTGAACATAAATGGAATGACCCCTATGCCCTACTCCGCCATTCACCCAATCTCGCCCTGAGCAACTTTGTTTCCCTGGATGAAATAAGTCCTCAAAGGGAAACGTTTTGCTGATGCAGAAGAGGTGAAACAAAAAAATGGCAGAAGCACTAAAAGTCACCAGAATTGATGAGTTCACAACTGTTTTAAGCAGTGGAAAAATCGTCTCAACAGGTGTACTACATCAAATAGAGAGTACTTTGAAGGTGACTGAAGTTGAAACATATAAGAATATACAATTTTTTATAAATAAATTGTTTATTTGAGGTCCCTCCCTCACATGTCAAGACAATAGGCATTAACTTGAACCATCCCAAGCAAACCATAGGAGGGAAAATTTCTCTCACCATGTCTGACCGCTATTATATATTTTTTATATAAACAACACCAAATCAATCAGTGTGTTTAGCATGTGTTTAATTTTCTTAATTGAAAGAATATTATTTTTTAAAAATACTATTTTTTGGTGTGTGCACAAAGTCAATCCAAAATGAGGATGCAGCTGTGAAGAGAACATCAACTAAGGGACAGAAGATCTTCATTCAAATCCCAGAATGCCACTTTGTAGCTATGACCTTAGACATATTTTCTCAGGCTCATCATCTGTAAAATAAGAATAATAAGACTCACTTCAGAGTTACTCATGGATCAAGTCATACAGACATATTTGAAGGTGTCCTAGAAAGGGTATAAAATGTTATGAACATGGAAAATAAATATGAAGGAAAACTTTGTAAGACATACCCTCTAACAGCAAATAGCAACTGCAGTGATATTACTGGATACCAACAGATTGGTTTTGATGTAAATACTGCCACTTTAAGAGCTTTCTGGTCTTCACTGGACTTCTCAGTAAGGTGGAATGTTCTGAATCATCCCTCTGTAGCCACAGAAGATAGGTGACCACTGTTTGTGGTAGAATGACCCCTAAAATTATCCAATTATCCTTATTGTTACATAATACGTCAAAAAGAAAAAAAATGATCTCATTACCTTCAGCACCTGCAGAACTGGACATGCCTTTCAGGAGCACTGTCCTATTACATTCTTATCAGCTATTGTGCTAAGTCCTCTGGCCCCATCCTTGGAGATAAGCACGGCAGGTCCACACCTGTACCAGCTTACAGTACAAGTTTGTGGAGAAAGCATGTAATGGAGCATGAGGACCTTCAAGTACCAGGACTGGCCTAGCTATTATCCAGCCACATGACTTTGGGCAAAACATCTGTTTTGTAAAGTGTAAAGTGAGAGTATAGATTAGATGATTACTATGGACCCGATGAGTTCTGGCTTTCTATGATTCCAAGACAGCTTAGGCATTTGACAAGTCTAGATGACTGACACCTTGGATATTTTCCTTCCCATTTTTCTATCTATTCTCAAAACAGAAGAAAAAGTTTAAACAGAATTAAACAGAATTAGACATCTGAAGTAGAGATTTAAAGTATACATACATTAAAGTATACTTTCAGAATACATTTACATTGAAATACACAGATAAAATAGTTGTGTAATTAAGAAACATTCATTCTTTTCCACATGAAAGTGTATTTGCAGTTATAAACATGAACTAATAAACATTTGTTTTATAAGATAATTTGCTATGTGGTTGAGGTGCTAGGCAAGATTGGTGATTAAAGGCTCTATAAATTCTAAATTCTGCAATTCTGAGATATTCTTGGCATTTTATGTGTCTAGATGACTGCCATCTTTTTGGATATTTTCCCTTACATTTTCCAGCCTATTCTCAATATAGATGAAAACATTTAGCATACAATTACTGAAACAGAACTTTTAAATAGAGATTTAAAGTAACTTCAAAATACTTAAACTGAAATATAGAGATAAAATGGTTGCTGAGTCAGGAGACACTTAATATTTTCCACACATTAATGAACTTGAGACTATGAACATGAACCAAGAAATGCTTGCTTCACAAGGTAACTCTGATACTTTTAATTTTGAAGCTAGAGACATGTACAACACTTACAGCATTTACACAGTACTATTTTCAAAATAGGCTTTTGACCTCTAAGAAAAAAAGCTTTCAGTGACAAGCTTTAGATATACAATTTAGCCCAGTGAGTATCAACTTTGTCACAAGAAGCAACTACATAAAAATAGTTTCTTCCTTTCCCCAGCACAAGAAAATGATATCACTGACTTTTAAAGCATAAGAAATAACCCTCAAAAAAGCAAATGATCAAGGTCCAAAGAACACCTTTACAAATGAACATAAGATCTCAATTATTCAACTGAGCAAGTGACTTAATGTGCATACTAACCCCCTTTCTTACTACTTCCTGATTTCTGATTCTGAGAATATTTATTCTGCAACTACTGTGTAAGATACTGGGAAAACAAAGAAGGATCACTCAAGGTTTGATGGTGTGCTGGCTGGTAAATATTTAACAGACAACTATTGAGTAAAAGACAAGTCTTTACTTACAGTATTTACCTATTTCGGTGGTGTAAATACTCTCACTATGGCAGATTTCAAGCTACCAACAATTTGACAACTGACCTACAAAATTCCTCACATTAATGATCATCTCTCATGAACTATTAAAAGCCAGCTCTAACATACCACTGTATGGGCTCTACCTTCAAGTAGCTCATAATCTCTTCATGGGCACATATGTGAGAGGACAGAAAAGAATGGGGAAAATAGAAATAAAATTTAAATAATTCAATTATACTTTTTATAGGTAGTTTAAAAGTTAGAAGGACACTTAAGATCTATGGTGTTTCCTACTTCTTTACTATTCCTCTTTTCCTCTTAAATTTATTTCATGAAATTAAACTGTAGAATACTTAAGGAAGAGTAAAACATGTGGAATAAGAATGAAAAAAGATATCCTAAGAAATATACTAACAGTTACGTTTACATTAGAAGAAAAAAGTACTAAGATAAGAACACATATAATGTAACTATTAAAATTGCATCTTTTTAAAACTGATCTTCAGCGCAGTTCACAAGTCCTGATGATTTGTCCTGACCACTTTGGCTGTCACTTTGATGACATTAGCCAGTTTTTTTAGCACTATACTGAAGCGAATACAGCATCACACCACTTATACAACCAGCTCATAGTAAGAGGCAGATATAAGCTCTGGAGTCTGAAAACTGAGCTTCCTTTAATAGTCACCCCCTTGTATCAGATCTTGGGCAACTGCTGGCTGGGGTGACCAGGGAATTCTTCTGGTAGCAAAACGTGGAGTCTGCAGGTTGGGCATGTCCCCTGTTGCATCAACCATGGTCTAATGCACTAAGAAACAACAACAACAAAAACCATTTCAGTCTCTCAGATTTAGCCTAACAGAGGTAGCTATCACTCTATACACAAGGGTTACCAATCAGCATGTCTTCTGGTGACTCTTTAAAGCCTTATCCTGTGAACTGTCAAGCCAAATGCTGCAACCATGACACCTTCTTTGTGGGTTGCTGAGTGATATAGCTAGTAACTCACAATACTTTTAGCCAGTTTAGCCTATTAAAATTCTTCCCTCAACCCCGACTTTCAAGATGGCTAGCAGTTTTTTCTGACAAGGAAATTGGAAAAACAAGCTATATTATCTCTTTGGTTTATTATATGTTGTTCTCATTTATAATGCAGAAGTCATAAAAAACATGCAAAAGTCACCAATACCTTGTATCAAGCACTTATGGTGTTCTGAAGTTAAAATCTCTAGGTGATGAATATTGTTTTCTTTGGTGACAATGGCTATAATTTTCTACTATGAGCTATCTGTTAAGTCAATTGTTTAAATACTGATTCTCCAAAAACAAGTCATTTTTACTTGTATGAATAATGGAGAGCCAGATCAGAAGAGTGATAACTAAGAATAAGCACTATATATGAGGCCCACTAACTTTAATCCTAAAAAATAAGGTTAATGAGTTATGTGCTTTCTATTCAATAAGCAATGGCAAAAAATGAAATAAGTTTTGTTAAACAAGTATTTTCTAAATTGTCAGGACCTTAAAAACTTAAAATGGGAAAGTCAGTGATTAAGTATTTTTCCTGGAGACCTTTTTGGTTTAGGCATTTTGTGTATATCTCTTCCTATCAGATCAGAAGCAAAATATAATTTTTGCACCAGATATCACATATATCTTTAAAATGATATTTTACAAACATGGCTTGATCGAGCTAGCTATTGTTCACATCCCTGAAAAGTCTTTCTTGTGTAAGATTATCTTTTCCTATGTCAAATTACATTTCTATAACAGAGAACTTGGATCAGAAATTATATATCAATAGCAACAGCATGGTGGTAACACCAGGAGTTAATCTATATAAATGCCAAGAATTAACAAGATATGCCAGCCTCACATTTTTCTAACATCAAAACTCAAGACCATCTTTAAAAGCAAGTACAGGAACCTGAACAGACTGCTACGATCAGTCTTTGGCTTTTTAATGGTAAGGGGCCATCGTTAATTGTGGACAAAGGACACTATGTGGTATTTATAGCATGTCAAAAGGAAGAAGCACTGTTGCTAGTTCTGCCACTAAACTACCATTTCAATAAACATTTTTCCCAGTTCTATACAAGGGGACTGCCTACTGTGCACCATTGAAATCTCAACATTGTCCCCTTCTCCTGCAAGGTGTATGACAATCTGAAAAGCATAGTGCAATCCATTGCTATATATGGGAAAAATGTAAATGTCTGTGTGGTATCCTAATGCTCAGAGTTATACCCAGTGGAACACATCACATGACAAAGCATGGTGATGCATGTATATACTTTTAAGAAGGTTGTATGACTTTCACTCAGTTGATTAATGGTAAAATATTATAGGACAAGTTTAAAGGGTTTACCTGAGAGTGGAATTTGTGGGCACAAGGCAAAACTGAAAGGTTTTCTGGAGACAGATTCTCATGACAGATCACACATGGTTCCTCTTCCTCTTCCTCCTCCTAAAAAAAATAAATATAATGTCAAATTTGGCTCATTTTTTCCTTCTGAATCTTAATGTGTCCAGAATCAACCATTTCAGTCTCACCAAATTATTGGCTCCTTCCCATGTGGCAGGATCCTGTGCACTGTTGGGTTTCCAGGTTGTTTTTTCAGGCTGGGCAGGATTAGGCTGCGTTGGAGAATGGCTAGGTGAAACACAATTACCATTCGGCGCTGATTTTCCTTGAGTCTGAAAATAAAAACATAATGCTTATTTTTAAAGAATTATTCTAAAACAGTAAGAACTGATAGACTAACACAGAATTGGGTATAGCAAGAAACTTCAAAATAATAAACAAAATAGTGAGATATAGTTAACAAAATGTTGGCAATACGTATTTACTCAGAGCTAGATAAAGACAAAAATAACTCTATATCTTTCTTTAATTAAAATAAATCCTTCCAGAAAATTAGCAAAAATGTTCACCTTTAGAATCATTCAAAGTAACCTAGAGTAAATTTCAAGAGGGTTCATTTTATTTTAGAGTGATCAAGGGATAGGTATTTTTAAAAGACTTCCTGTATAATTTGTCAAATTGAAGTTGTTCAATTATTTACTGTTAAAAGATGATTTAATATGGTTAGAAGTTACTGAATTTTTGAACATGTTATAGAGATAATTAAAATAGCTAACTATTAGAGATAAGGGCAGAGAGATATAGTATTTTGATGTTTTGTTTTTTACCTGAGATCTCTTGGGGTCAATAAATTGGGAAATCTTACAAACAATTTCATCAAATGTCAGTCCAGATAAGGACTTTCCATGTGCATCCTTTAATTTTCGTAAGAAATCTGTAAGCTCCTTTCTGGAAAAGATCAAGGAAAGAACAGTGGTGAATTTCCCTATTGCCTTGAACATGTGCCCTCCGAAGGTGACATAAAATCCTATCATACAGTTGCTATGTAGCATCTAAATATGACTTTTTTGATCTTTATCTAAAAAAGTGATCATAGGTCCATCTGCATTTATCTTAAGCCAAAATGAAAATTCCTAATTGTATTCATTGATACTTAATGTATTCATGAATGATAAAGCTTAGTATTTATTTTCTTTTCAAGAAGAGATTTTAACTTTGTTTCTGAAAGCTCACTATGTGAAAATTGAGTTTACTTATTTATGCACTGAGTTCTTTTTTAAAAATATGTATTGACTCTTAATTTTCTTTTTTAATTTTAAAGATATGGGGTACAATTCAGGGTTAAGTATACAAATGTTCAATATGCAGTTACCCTAGATGAGGTGTGCCCCCTCCCCCAGCACAATCCCATTACTACCAATCTCAACACAACCCCCCCACCCCCCGCCGGCAATTTCCCACTACTGACAATCATTTTCTTATAGTATTAAGATAATTGTTCAAGGTCCACTTATGAGTGAGAATATGTGATACTCAGTTCTTTGTTTCTGTGATAGATCAATCAGTATTATAGACTCTAAGTCAATCCAAGTTGCTGTGAAGTTCATAATACTATCCTTCTTTATGGCTATGTAATATTCCATCATGCATATGCACCACATTTTTAAAAATCCAGTCCTCTTTCGATGGGCAGCATGGTTGGTTTGTTATATCATATTTTTCAAATTTTTTCTTACTCAAGTCTAAAACATTTCTTTTTAATTATGTTGCTATTGGTTACTCTTTCCTTTATCAATGTTAATAGTTTTGCTTTTATAAAACTCAATAACAGAAAAAAAGATTAAACAGAACAGAAAAGCAAAGGTTAAAAAAACACATTAACGGGGACTTCTGGCAAGATGGCGACGGGCCAGCAGGGTCTGTGAGACCCTCTGTGAAAGAGAACACCCATAAAGACCCTAACTCTCTCCCAGGGGCTGCAGTCCCCATCTTCCGCAGCCTGCTCTTCACAGGGAGCTCAGCCGCCACTGTCACCCGCCGTCGCTACTCAGATATTGCGACAAACCGGGCTGCTACTGCAGTTGCCGCAGCAGGACTGGGCTGTTCCTGCAGTCGCGGATACCGCTGCTGCAGTCATTCCCAGCTCATGCCTGAAGCAACCCACGACTTCAGACCGTGAAGCCCTGCAAGCAGGATCTTCTGAGATCCCCGCCGCTGCCACGCCCCTAGCTCAGAGAAAGCCCTGTGGAACTCCCCCCATGAAGTTGCTGCGGCAGGTTGCGGATCCATAGCAGGCTCCCTCCCCTCTGGACTGTAGCCGCGGGATAGCACCTCCTGCTGGGAAACCAAGGTAATAACATCAAAACGGGAATGGCAGAGTCTCATCCCGCTTGAAAAATGGAAAAAGCCAGATCTCAGTGATAGACTGGGCAGGGGGCCCATATCTGAACTGTTCTTCACAGCAGACCAAGGGCAACTGACCCTAACTGCGAACAATTCTACCAGTCTGCAAAGACAGCTAGAAACCAGAGCTGAAAGGACATTGGACTTAAAGGAAAAATCTCATTGTGTGCTTGGCTGGTTCTGTTAGTCTACTGACTTTAATCTATCCCTTCCCCCCCGCTCTTTTTTTCTTTTCTTCCCCCCCTTTTGCTTTTTTCTTATCTCACTGTAAATCCCATCTTTGTATAAAGGAATAGCACACCAATAAGGAGGTTGATCAGTGTGTACATTAGCATCATTGTATGTTTTACATTTTTATATGGTTGTTGGTTAGTTTTCAGTCATGGTTATTGTTTTTCTTTATATCTGTTTCAGTCTTTGTGTTTCTTTTCACTTACCAGTTGGTACACTCAACTGTTTTCCCTCTCACTCCTCTCTCTCTCCACCCCCCCCCCCCCCCACTGCCTGTTCCACTCTCTCCCCTCTGTTAACCTCATTTTGCTTTTAGGGAGTAAACCTACAACCCCACTGCATGGACAGACTCCAAGGCAGTGGGAAGTGGGTTTCAGACTATCCATACAGCTGTTGGCGAACACCAGGATCTGCAGAGAGATTTTGAATCACAGTTCCCCCCTTAATTAAATCCCAAAACTACAAAAAGGACTGCCCTCAACCCACAGTCCAACTCCAGAACTGAACAGAGCAAGAGGAAATATATTAGGAAGAATAGGAGATTGAACAAACAGAAGTAAAAGAAACACCTCCACCCCTGAATAACAGAATTAAAGAAGATGGGGAAGTGGAAGGACGGGAAAAGTAGGGAGGGAAAATCTGCACAAATGAAGAAAAACCAAAAGAAGAACACAGGACTCACACAAACCCCTGGGAGGTTAGACACTGAGAAAACAAACATCGGAACACAAACAATGAAGAGCCCCAGAATGACTGGTCACAAGCAACAAACCCAAACATCAAGGCATTAATAGAGAGAATTAAAAAAACTGAGGAGAGACAAGAGGAAAATAGGAAGGAGCTGATGACAGAAATAACAGCAGTAAAGAATACTGTGATGGAAATAAATAACAAACTAATTAGCATGAAAAGCAGAATTAGCCAAGCAGAAGAAAGAATCTCAGAACTTGAAGACCAAAATACAGAACTAACCCAAACTGTCAAAAACATAGAAAAGAAGCTTAAAAAGTCAGAACAACCTTCAGGAGATGAATAATTACTTCAAGAGACCCAGTCTAAGAGTAATTGGCCTTCCTGAAGCAGAGAGAGAGTCAGAGGTCACACTGGAACAAACATTTCATGAAATCATTCAAGAAAACTTCCCTCATCTCATCAGTGATGCAAAAATTCAAGCACAAGAAATTCAGAGAACCCCTGCAAGACAAGAAATGAGAAGACCAACTACCAGACACATAATAATTTGCCTAAACAAAGTAGCTATAAAAGAAAAAATCCTAAAGGCAGCAGGAGAAAAAGGCCAGACTACCCATCAGGAAGATCAGTTAGAATAGCAGCAGATTTATCCACAGAAACCCTTCAGGCTAGGAGAGCCTGGAGCCCTATCTTCAAAGTTCTAAAAGATAAACAATTTCAACCAAGAATAACTTACCCAGCCAAACTAAGCTTCATTAGTGAGGGAGAATTGAAATCTTTTCCAGATATCCAATCCCTAAGAACCTAGGCTGCCACCAGACCACCTCTACAAGAAACACTTAAGAAAATACTGAACACAGAAGGAAAAATGAACAACAACATCCTCACAAGAGTACAGGCAAAAGATTAAAAACAAACATGAACCAACTCCAAAACCAAAAGAAAGACAACAAACAAACAGGAACAACAATTCTGTAAGAACCTTATGACAGGGATCAACTCTTGCATTTCAATTATTAGCCTAAATGTGAATGGACTAAATGCACCACTGAAAAGACATAGAATGGCAAAATGGATAAAATATCACCAGGCAACAATCTATTGCCTTCAAGAGACTCACCTCACTAGAAAGGACACTCAAAGACTCAAAGTAAGAGGATGGGAAACAAACTTTCAGGTGAACGGAATATAAAAGAAAGGAGGAGTAGTGATCTTAATTTCAGACAAAATACCCTTCAAGCTATCAAAAATCAAAAAAGATACAGAAGGCCACTACATAATGATAAAAGGCTCAATCCATCAACAAGAAATATCCATCTTAAACATATATGCACCCAACATAGGAGGGCCAACTTTCATAAAGCAACTTCTAGGTAAACTAAAAAAAGATTTCAACTCCAACCCCATCATAGCTGGAGACTTCAACACCCCACTCACAACCCTAGACAGATCATCAAGACAAAAAATCAGCAATGAGATCCAAAACCTCAATGTGACTCTTGACCAAATGGACTTAATTGATACCTACAGAGCACTCCATCCAAAGACCACAGAATATACATTCTACTCTTCACCGCATGGGGCATACTCTAAGATCGACCAAATACTTGGCCATAAATTAGGTATAAGCAAATTTAAAAGAACCAAAATTTTACCATGTACCTTCTGGGACCACAGTGGAATAAAAATAAACATCAACACCAACAAGGTCCCCCTAAAACCCACAAAGACATGGACACTAAACAGCATGATGTTAAACAACTGCTGGGTCAATGATGAAATCAAAACAGAGATTAAAAGGTACTTGGAAACAAATGAAAATGAAGAAACATCTGACCAAAATCTCTGGGAAGCTATGAAAGCCATAGTAAGAGGGGAATTTATATCCCTACAAACGCACATGAAGAAAATGGAAGGAGCACAAATTAATAGCCTAACAAGCCACCTAAGGAAGCTGGAAAAGCAAGACTACCAAAACCCTAATTTCAGCAGAAGAATCCAGATCACCAAAATAAAAGCCCAAATCCAGGACATAGAAGACAAAAAGATCATACAAAAAAAAAAATCAATGAAACAAAAAGCTGGTTCTATGAAAGGATAAACAAGATAGATGGTCCCCTAGCTAGACTGACCAAGAAAAAGAGAGAAAAAGCCCAAATAAATACAATCAAAAATACAAAAGATGAAGTCACATCTGACTCTGAAGAAATACAGAAGATTATTAGAGACTACTACGTACACTTGTGTGGAAACAAACTTGAAAACCTTAAGGAAATGGAGGACTTTCTGACATCACACAACCTACCTAGGTTGGAACAAGAAGAAATTGAGACCCTAAATAGACTGCTAACAATCAAGGAAATCGACTACGTAATAAGAAAACTACCTACAAAAAAAAGCCCTGGTCCAGATGGC